GTATCTGCTTAAATTGGACTACTGCCACTCTTGCTACCGATCCCTGTAGCCAAGGTGTTGTTTTGAAACATCGCATGTGTTATTTCCGATTTCACCTTTAAAAACTTCCTCTTGCCTCGGCCTCCTCGGTGCTGCCCACGGTTTGCCATGTGTTTGCACACGTGTTGCCATTGCTCTGCTATCCCCAAATAAATATTACCCTTTTGGGATCCTCTTCTCTGTCACTTAGGTTGGCATCATGGATCAGTGTAATGGTAACTGCAAGTGGATTTCGTCTGCTTCATGACGCGTGGAAGTAGTCCAAGCGCAAGGAAGACAGAGGCGGGAGAATCAGGGAGTTAAGGTTATCCTAGGCTGCATAGTAAGTTTGAAGTCAGTCTGGGCTAAGTGAGACTGTGAGAGTCTGTTATATTTAGTTATAATTTTTACATCTATTACATATATAATTATTGCATATATCACAGTGTATGTATATATATATATTACACACACACATAGACTAGGGAAACTCCTAGAAGAATTATGAACATATTTGAAAAATTATAAATGTACTTGGTATGTAAGAGGGAGGAGAAAATAGTCATGTAAGTGCTCAATTAAAATCTGAGACTGGAGGACAGTGAGAAAGAGAGGGCGAAAGAAATGACCAAGCCAGAGAACTAGAGAACAGCTCAAACAGGTTGCATGCAACAAAGAACCTTGGCATTGCCATTCAATGGTCATCTTCAGCAGTATCAAAGACCAGACCATTGATGTGGGGAATGGCATGGATGCGCTGCACAGCAACCCAGGTAGCAGGAGCCGCCCCTGTCAAAAGGAATACTCTGCTTTTCCATTCACATAAAATCCCATCAGTGTAGTCAGTTACAGTAATAGGAAGCAGACGGGCAGCTTCTTGGGTTTCCAGTAAGAGGAGGAGGGAGACTAGGATCATTATGGAGCATTAAGAAGTTGTTAAGATCATCATCTTGTAGAAGACCCAGGTTCAGTGCCCAGCACTCACATCAAGCTGTTCACAACCACCTGTAACTCCAGCTCCAGGGGATCTGGCGCCCTCTTCTGAGCAGCTGCATATATGTGGTGCACATACAGACATGCAGACACATACTCATACACATATGTAAAAATTATGGGAAAATATTAGATAGTGGGGTGGGAAAAAGGAGTGCTCATGTTTCTTGTGGTGCTCTAGGTACCTATAGCTGCATGGGCTAAAGCACAGTCCTGCCTCCATGGTTTAAATGTCTTAATGTACTTAAAGAAAGCCTTCTAGACAACAAAGTATATGCCAGTTTAAATGATTTTGTTGAGTAAAAATTTAGAAACCACTACTTTATTACTTAATTTTGCAAAGACATTGCATTCAACCCCCAAAATATGAGCTTCGGCATGACTTGAGCCTGGCTAGAAGATGACTTGGGACTGATTTTTCTTTTACGCTTCACCCTAACGATTCACAGTGATTCCTAGGGCTTAGACGAGAACACTAGATTTGTGTAAAACTTCTGAAATACAAGGAAAAGATGGCCTGTGGGTGATCTCCACGACGTTAAAGCTAGAGGAGTGGAGAAGATGGAAAGCTGTCTAAGTGTGTTCCGGCATATGCAGCCGAGAGTCTACGGGACCCGTGTAGCCACATTCTACCAAGGGTAGCTATGAATGGACCCAAATGCAAGAGACTGAACTTACTGAAAACATGAGTGCTTTTGAGAATTCGATTGTGAACTTCATGAGGACGGATGCTGTAGAAGGTGGTGCCATTTTGCAATGTCTCCGTGTCAGCTAGGTGATCCATTGCAAGGTACCACTTTCCCAGTGAGTGTGCTAGTACCTTGTCACTAGCTGGAAGTATTCCCAGTTGAATCCTGGTCTATAAAGAGGATCTTCTGCCCCCAGACTTGTAAAGTCAACACAAAACAAACAGGAAATTAAACTGAAATCTCCTACTATACTTAGAAACCCAGCTTTTATAATTTTTTGGGCATGGACATAGAGAAATTTTATTAGCTATGAATTTATTATGGGCCTATAACAACCATGGCATCATTTGAAAGAAGACCACGCTCTGCTCAAACTGGCTTTGGGGGCCATTAGTGGATGTATTAGTTACTTTTTTTCTCATTTTTGTTACTGACCAAAACAACAGAAGGGAGGAACGAACAAAGGAAGCAAGGAAGGAGGGAGGGAGGGAGGGAGGGAGGGAGGGAGGGAGGGGGGGGGGAGGGAGGGAGGGAGAGAGAGAGGGAGGGACTCCTAGCTACATGGTGCGGTACATCACGGAGGGGAATCACAGAGGCAGGAGGTTGGAGCAGCAGCTCACATTATTCCCTCACTCATTTAAAGCCGCTTTACACCATCACTTATAGTTACTTTTTATTTTTTTTACTACAATCTGAAATTAATAAACAACTTCAACAACATCTGGTTCTGAGCCAATTGTGGAGACAGATGCCCATAATCCCGGCATTCGGAAGGCAGAGGGAGAATCAGGAGTTCCAAGTCATTTTTGACTACATTAACTCGTTCGAGATATCCAGACCGGACTATAGGAGACACTATTTAAAAGAGAAAAAGAAAACAGAATTTTGGATTACCTGTGATGGTCTAACAAGGTGAGAGCCACAAACAAACCCTTGAGCAGTCCACTAGAGGGCAGCAAGTACAAACCAAATTTAACTTTGCCCCCAGAAACGATTGATGGTATGCCAAATATATAAATTACAAACATGAATTGTTAAATGTAATTCAAATTCATTTAAAGATGTGAAATAAATGTATGCAAAAATGTTCCTCTTTGGAATTAGTGGTGTGGGAGTTCACTAGATTAAAACACAAAAGAATTAGTTCCGGTTTTAGCTCTTACAGTAATGTGACTTGAAGCAATCTAACACTTGCCCTCCTGGCCCACCCTTAAGACATTGCATAGCTGCTCAAAATGACAAAGATGTTCTTTTCAAACTGGAATTTCATCGTTCAGTTATTTTTATTATATTCCAGTCTTTTAGAAACCCTTCCGAATACAGTCTTGGACTTTAGGTCACCCATAATTTTAATTGATGGAGGGTACTAATTGAGAAGTACCCACCAGAATATCTTGGAGAGTTTAGAACCCTCAAATATTTTAATTCACCTTTTGGGGGAAATTGCCTAATAAAGTGACATGCTTAATATCTAGTAAGGACAGAGACTGCAGCGCTATCTAGAAAAATTACTGGCTATACCTCAACTACTGGTCCAAAGAAAACAGAAGCCCACAACAACATCCTCACCACAGTCACCTGTATTTAGTTTGAGATGCGTCAGAAACGGAGACGATATTCTAAATTGCATTCTTCACAAGCACCCATGGTTAAAACTGCCAAGCCCAGTGGCAACCGGAACCATTTCTAAGTCCAGTTTGATCATGTAGCCACAGCTTACGCTGTGTTGTATATTTTAATATACAACCTTCTACCCTTGCTTAGAATGTGTTCTCCATCTACACGCACACGAAAAGGAGTAAACCAGCTTGATAGTGAGTAGGAGCGATGAGGAAAGTCATCCTCAAGACACAGGAAAGCTTATCGGCAGCCAGAACACGCTGTCTGTCCTTTGTGCTCTCCAGACCGCTGGTCCGGGCAGGTTAGCTCGACCTGAGTTAGTGGATGGGGTTCTGGACCCTGTGGATCCGAGGTGGGCTAGCTTTCTCCTCCGTCTCAGGATGACATCATTAGCATTCATTCCTACATCACTATTTCCAGTCTGCTTTCCCTGATGAAAGTGAGGAGTATGATTTCAAACTCGGGGCCATTTTCAGACAAGTAACAAGATCCCATTACTTTCAGAGGGTGAGCATGTATTTATTTATTTATTTATTTATTTTTAGGCTGGGTCTCATGTAGCTTATGCTGGCTTTTAACTCCCTGTGTAGCTGAGATGGTCTTGAACTTCTCGTCCAACGGCTTCCACCTCCCAGTATTGAGATTACAGGTATGAGGTAATAGGACCTAAGGTTTGCGCAGTCCTGCAGAGAGAACCAGGGCTTTGTACGTGCCAGGCAAGCACTGGACCAACACACCCCAATTTCCAGACAATCATTTTAATGAATGAAATACTGATGCCCTACATTCGGACCCAGACTTCTCTTTATTCTGTCCTCATCTGCACAAGGGGGATAGCGGTGCTTCCGGTCTAAGGCTGCTCTCCAAATGAAACAACTTAAAACGTGTAAATCTATTATTACTGTTACTTAAATAGTAAAATGATTTTCACTTCTTTATTGGATTCCCAGCAGCATGGAGCTTAGGATATGAGCAGAGTCCCTGCTTGATGTCATTTCTTCCTGGCCTTTTATTAAAAATGATTTAATTGCGCTATCTATGTGTGTTGGGGTGAGGTCATGCCAGAGGAAGGCCTGCAGGGCTTTTCCCTCTCCACCATGCAGGTCTCAGAATCCTCACTAGGTTCAAATCCAGGTGACGACGCACAGCCGCCAGCACCTTTCACCCACTCGGCAGTCTTCCTACACCCCGGGCCTTTCCTATGCAACATCTTAATGCTTCATAAGTAACCGACGCTCTAAATCCCCAAAGAAGCCACGAAATGGACGAACTTTTAAAACGAGGCTGGTCTAATACTGCCTGACATTAACGGTCTTCCAGTCTGAGTGTGTGATACACATGAAATAGAATTGCCGTCTACAGTGGGATAGAGGCTGCCTAACACTATCACATTGCTCAACAGAAATTCCAAGGAGTCTGCCCACACAAAAAGAAGTAACACCTGTTACTGTGATAACCCAGAGTCGTTTCTGCCAGGACTGGCTTGAAAGAAAGCTCTGATTAGAAAAATGAAAACATGTTTATTTTGTACAAATGGCTGTTAATGTCCAAGAGCCAAGAGGCTGTGAGTGTGGCAGGATAAGGCAACTCTCAGGGTCCAAGAGTTGGGAGTGTCTCAAACCCAAGTGACCTTGAGGGTTCCAGACCTAAGAGATTGTGAGTGTTCCAGGACCAAGAGCTATGACTGTCTGCAAGTGTCCCAGGTCCAAGAGTATGGTGCATACCCTCAGTGTCCTTGCTCCCACAAAATCCGGACTCAGAGCAGCAGTAGCGAGCCCAGCAGCAGCTCGCCCTGGCCCAGCGGTCGTCCACGCTCCAGCCCGCGGCCCTTGCTCTCAGCCTTGATGCGCACGGCCAGGCGGCGCAGCTGCTCCTCCGAGAGCCCATCGAAGCAGCAGTCCTGGTCCAGGGCGGCCTTGCGGCTACGCCGGAGAACGCTGGCGCGCTGCTGGCCCGACGGCCGCAGCACCAGGCTGAGGCGGCAGCCCAGGGCGCGGGGTTCGAGCGCGGCGGCCGGGCCCTCTGCGCGCAGCAGGCGGAGGCGGAGACACGCGCTGCGCGGACAGTACTCGGCGGCCAGGCGCAGCGTGCAATCCCCGCGGCCCAGAGCCACGCTGGCCTCGGCTTGCAGGCGCTCGGGGCGTGGGCTCGCAGGGACCGGGGGCGCGCAGGAGGCAGCGCGTTCGAGCTTGTCACCGGAGGACGGAGAGCGCGAGCCGGTCCGACCTCGAGGTGTCCGCAGCGCCAGCCTCAGCAGTCTATCTGGGGCGCGCAGGAGGCGGCGTCTGCGGGGAGCAGGAGAGGGTGCCAGGACCCGGGCGGCATCTGGCTTATGCGGCGCGGGGTGCGGAGTGTCCGGGACTTGGCGCGGACTTGTGTAGGTGTGCGCTCGGTGGCTAAGTCCGGGCCTGGGGACCGGGGCGTCTGGGTGGCCGAGGAAGAGCGACTCCTTTCGGCGCGTGTGCGGGCTCTCGAGCAGCGCGCAGAAGCCGTAGGCGGTGCGTGCGCGGGGCAGATGTGACAGCGAGAGGGCAGCCTGTGAGCGCGGGTCCCAGTCGGTGCTACCAGCCTGGTCGTCCGTCTCCGCGTCTGCAGCCCAGGCATCGCGCAGCGCAGCCCAAGCTGTGTTAGGCTCCAGTCTCGGTGGGATGCAGAACTCTGGGATGCGGTCAGGAGTGAGCACGTTAACGCATGCAGTGGACGAGCGCGCTTTGGTGCGGTGGGTTAGCCTGGGGAGAAACCCGTCTCGGTTCCGCAGGAGCCGTTCCAGACACCACATCTGGCCGCTGGTCCTGGAACTGGGTGATCCTCTGTTTGAGCCTGCTTGCTACATACAAATGCACACCTGTCATAGGCAGCCTGAAAGAAAGTGGGAATTAAAGTCCTCTTTATTCCACTTCGTCCTGTCCATGGCAAAATCCCTCACCCCATTGCAAATTGTTTTCAGAGACTGAGAAACAATCGTTTATCACCCGCCCTGTCTCCAGTCGGCTGTCATGTAATTTGCAGCCGGCTGTAGTCTTCTCCATCCTCACTTACTGGTCCTGCTACCTTTGTCTTTTAACTTGAACCTCTGACCTCAGTGCCAAAAGGCGCTTTGTGCATTTGTGCATCTGTTCCCTGAAACCTCTGAAGTCTAATATCAGTCCAGTCAGCGAGAAAACTCACTCACTCACTCACTCACTCACTCACTCACTCACCAAACAGTGACTCCTTTCAGCAAGCTTCAGGCCATTCAGGTCTCACAGCCTGAACCGAATTGGGTTCCCATTCATATACCTGGTTTTCGTAGTCAGATGATTTTCCAACCGGAGAGACATTGAGAAATTCAAAGCGCCCGCGGCAGGTTGATTGCTGCTGTTCTAGGAGAGCTGCTCAGGGCTTTTATACCAGCTGTCGCGGTGCTGCCTGGTAACCTGACGCCTGGTCCTCCCAGGTCCTTCTGCCACGTGGATGAACTTGCTGATCTGATCCCACAGAAGGCTGTCCTGTGATTGGAGCCTTTCTCTTCCAAAACTCTGAACAAATTTGTTTCCTCACGTGCAAAATGGGATTAAGTCTGGATCACGTCGCAGTTCTTGTGAGGACGGAGAAACAAAATGAACAGGAGCGCACAGAAGCACTCATTCAGCAAGCCCCATTTCAAAGAAGCCAGAAGTCGGGTTTGTCTCACCCAATGATTTTTCTCATAGCCAACCTTCTTGCTGCCTAGCGTTGAAAGTTCTTCACTTTCTGCATTCAGTTCTGATTTTAGAGGTCCTTTCTCTGTGGATTTTTAATCAGTCTGGGTTGTGGGATTGAGGAGGGAAGCTTTTGGGATTCCGGAAACGTTCCATGTTTGTCTTGGGTGGGGTTAAAGGGGTGTATTCCTGTGTGAAGAAATCATCTAATGTACACTTAAGATTAAAGATATATCTATATTAATTAAAAAACCACAACCTTCGGAAGAAGGGTGCTAATTTTTAATTAGGGGAATATACTTCATACATCTAGCCGTTGGCTTTATCCTTTGGAGACACACACCAACCATATCTGACCTTTGGAGACTGTACCCCTCTGAGACCCCCATCCCTTTCTCTTGAAAATTGGTGTTATCCTTCAAGAGAGTTGTTTGCAGCTTGAGCTGAAAGAGGTCCTGAGATATTTCAGTTAGAGGTTGGGCACAGGATGTTTCTAAGATGCTGCCTTGCGAATGAATGGCCCCTCCAAGCAGTGTTGAATGAATTAAGTTGAATTCAGGCAGAGGGGGATTCAGTTTGGGGCATGTCATGTGTGTTTTGTATCCAGGACGCACAGACAATGTGCTAGATGACTTCGTCCCTAGAGTTGTCACAGGGACCTTAGGAATCAGATTATCCATATTTTATAAGCAACAACAACAACAATAGCAAAAGGAACAGCCCTTCAGGGGTTAAATAACTTACTCATAGTCATCAAGGAAAAGAAATGAAAGGAATGTCCACAAATGGGTAGTAAATGAGTTATTGGGGCTTAAGGTATATTATTATGCAGTGTGTATGTAACATAGCAAATGCTAAAGACGCAGAAGCAATGAATATCAGTATTGTTATTAACATTGAGAGTGGGAACACTGACAATAGTTAAGAAGATTGTGTCTGAAATCATGACGAATTTTGATTCCAGAATAGTAGCTTCCTATGAGCAAGTTACCAGATGTTTCTGAGCCTTGGTATCCAAGGTAAAGAGCATGATAATACACATCACTGGTTTGCCCTCGGATGAAATAGATGCTCCAAAGGAGCAGTTCTACATAGGCCCGGATGCACATAATGTCAGTTGCTATGTTCATTGTGATTTAGGTAAATGCTCCTTAGTTCATTCACGTGTGTAAAGCAGAATTTATCATAGGCTTCCTGGGTTTTAACCGCCAAGGGAGATACATGAATCCAGGCTGTACCAGAGCCTATCAGCTTATGTGCAACTCTTAGAAGAGAAAGGGAATGGTAAAGTTGAAACATTTAAATTCCATCTAAGTAGGGCAGTAGCAAAAATGAAAAAAATGTAAAAATAGTTGGTTTTTAATATGTATATATGCACATGAATGCATGGACACATGCTCATGCCACCTGCATGTGGATGCCCCAACAGGCCAGAAGAGGATAACGAATCCCCTGGAGCTGAAACTACAGGCAGATGTGAGCTGCCCTGCTTGGATGCTGGGAACCAAACTTGGGTCCTTTACAAGAGCAGCAAGTGCTTTTAGCCACAGAAGCATCTTTCTAGCTTCAAGGGACTTTGGATTTTATTTTATATTTAGTCTGATAGGGAGAATTGGAGCAAGTTCCTGCATTTACCATGTCTGTGACTAGCTTCTTCTTCATTTTATAACCTCTATTCCTGGCTGAAATTCTTGGACCAGGGTTCAGTCTCTGAGGGAGTAGTTACATACCCAAAGGACATGTACATACATTCAAACTCAAATTTTTTTCCCCATAGAGAAGGTGCTGCCGATTTCATGTTATCCCAGCCTTTGGTTAAAATGACAAGTACTACAAGAGCCCAGTCTGAGAAATTGTGACTCAAAGTCACTAACGTGTTGAACCCAGCTTGTAAGATGGAAGCCGCCATATCTATCGCACAGACTTCTCTGTCAGGGTAACATGTTCCCGTGAGTCCTCAGGGCAGACAGCACGCGCTGGCAGACAGTTAGCCGCTGCCACTGTTCCTGTGCATGTCTGCTTAGCCAGGCCTTAGCTGATTCACACCGAAATTCTTGAAAAACATCGCTCTGCTCAGCCACGCAAGGCAGCCTTGTTTTATTTTCATCAACAGCTCACCTTCTTTAGTAACACCTTGAAATCATTTCCTGTATAATGTTTCTAGAAAACAACAGAGGCATGGCTCTCACAGGCCAGTCCTCTGGGACCACAGTTAAGGCTCATGCTTTTGTTAACACGGAAGCATGCACCATCCAGTACTTGGGAGGCTGGGGTAATCCGGTCCCGCCAGGTGCCCAGAACATACAAATCTGCGCAGAAGAAGGCCACGCTCCTTCTGAGCTCATACCTGTAGCCATGGGGGTATTAGAGTTGGGGCTGTGGAAAGAACACCAATAGATTGCACAGCGTTGTGGCGGGAGGCACACTCGGAGTAAATGGAAACTGAATCCATACAAAAATAGATTTATTAAGGATGGATTGGGAGAGGTTGGATAACCGGTTACAGTTAGAGAAGCGATGTGTTCTAGTGGTCTGTGGCCCAGTAGGATGAAGACAGCTAGCAAGGTTGTGTTATGAAAATACCTAGAAAAGACTTTGAATGCGTTAACCGTCCAGGCAAATACAGGCTTAAAGTGTTGGCTATGTTAATTATCCTCAACAGAACGTTCCTTGATATGTAGACGAACCCCAAATCACATGGAGTCCTATCTAGTAAAAGGAACATTTTTTTTCTGTGTCAATAAAAAGAAAGTAATAATTAATAATAATAAAAAGGTTTACCAAAATAGTGCACAGGAGGTTGGGTGTCTAGAAAGCAAATGAGGTTATCGGCTGATGCTCTGAGTTACAATCTCATCCTCCCAGGACAGCTTGGAGGAAAGGACCTGTGGGCTTCAGCTTTATAGTTATTAACTTGTGGATCATCGGGTGAGCCGCTCTTTCTCTCTGGTTTTCAGTGTTTTCTGTTAATTTAGGTGGTTATTGTAACTAGATGCTCTGTCAGCTTCCTTGCTGTGCTGCCTCCTGCCTTTCACCTGCTTAGGCCTCCTTGTCAATCTGTATGTGTGTGTGTGTGTGTGTGTGTGTGTGTGTGTGTATGCAGGTATGCACATGCTTTGGTGCACATGTGTTCTTACTTCCATTACTTCTGGTTTAAAACCTTAGTCACTACAGTGTTCATTTTCTTTAGCTATCCCCTGCTTCCAATTTATCTGCTCTATAGGGCTGTACTTTGGCTGCTGACTGTGTTTTAATTTTTAAAATTATTATTATTTTATTTTATGTGTAAGTTTCTGTGCACCACAATTGTGCAGTGCCCACAGAGACTGGAAGAGATCATCAGATCCCTTGGAACTGGAGCTTCAGATGGTTGTGAGCAGCAATGTAGGAGCTGGAAACTGAATCTGGGTCTTCTGGAAGAGCAACCAGTTCTCTTAACCACTGAGCTGTTTGTCCACCCCTGATGGTGCTTCTTGACATTAGTTATGCTTGTTTTAAAATGGGGAAAGGTAGGATTGGGTGGAAATGATGTGGACGCAGTACCTGTGTATGAGGTTCTTAAGTTTTTCTGTGTATTTAATTTATTGATTGATAGGTTGAGAGTAATATAATTGCAACATTACTCCATTCCCTTTTCCTTTCTCCAAACTCTCCTATATATCCTTTCTCCCTCAAATTCGTGGCCTCTTTTTCATCAGTTGTTATTGCATGTATACATGTGTATTTATGTAATTATGTATATTGTGCATATGTACATAGCTTCCTAAATATGATCTGCTCAGTCCTCATAATGTTACTGATGTGTATGTGTTCAGGGCTCACTGTTTGGCACTGGACACCCGCGGTGTGTTTTTCCCTGGGGAAGGCCACCTCTCCTGCTTTCAGCATGTTTCAGTTGCTTATGGTTCTTTGTGTAGTGTTGACGCCTTGTGGGATTGTCCCTGTCCAGTTTGATATCAGAAATTCTTTAAAAGATAAAATGGAATGTCCTTTTTCGGTTTTTTAAAGGAATGTGACAAATTTGGGCTGTTCCTGGAGGCACACAGCCAACCACCACACCTGTAAACAGGCTCAGAGTGGGAAATGGTGAATTTTCAAATCTCGTATTGGCACAGAATACCACTATTGGCCGGGCGGCGGTGGCACACGCCTTTAATCCCAACACTCGGGAGGCAGAGGCAGGCGGATCTCTGTGAGTTAGAGACCAGCCTGGTCTACAAGAGCTAGTTCCAGGACAGGCTCCAAAACCACAGAGAAACCTTGTCTCGATAAACAAAACAAAACAAAACAAAACAAAACAAAAAGACTACCACTATTGCACTAAAGTGTTTGAATCTCCTACTTCAAGTTTTTTTTTTTTTTTATCTTATTCTGCTAGTAGCCGTTGAAAGACAGCCAACCACAACTGATAGTCTAGCGGTGACTAAATTGTGTAACTGTTGGCAGAAGAAAGGGTGGCAGTGTTCAAAGAAGGAAATTAGTAATTCCCACGTGATCTGGAGGAGTCGGTTAGC